ATCGTCATGCCAGACTCCACTGGGCACGTCTGCACCGGCGATGGCTGAACCGCTAGTGGAATAGAGTGATATTTTCTGACGAGTCCAGATTTCTTTTGGATTGCCACTATGGAAGGCAGAAAGCCTACCGGAGACATCATAAACTTTATTTACCTCAGTGTGTAAGTGCTGTTTCTGACAAACGTAGCATTATGGTAAGGGAATCCATAACCAGTACTGATGAATTCGACCTAGTCATTATCTACGGTAATCTGACTGCCCAGAGATACATCAAAGACGTTCTCTATCCACACCTTCTGCCATTTCTGGCTCGCCACAGGAACAATCTCGCCTCTGTTACCCAGAGATTCGGCCACCCCCAACGACAACCCCACAACTGCAACAATCATTAACGAATGCTTGGAATTATATTCTCCAGCAATTTATCCAATGACTTGTGCAATAAATGAGGCAGAGATGTACTGTAGTCATCAATGTTGGTGGGAGTTACACCCGTTACTATTTTGGGGATTTTGAACATTCGAATCGGTGTTATGAGTTTCTAATAAAAGGTGTGTTTTGATCGTTTTTCTTAGTTTTTTGTCTGCCCTTGATGAAAAAATGGCAAGCCTGTCAAAATCCATTGGCAATACGTCATTACTACGGTAAAGAACGGAAATAATGCACAGAACGAAGGCAGCCCACTTTCTTTTGCTCGTCAGTATATTTTTCAAGTCACGCACCATGTAAAAAATATAGTGACGATATCGGGTACATCCCTAAAAAATTGTACCCCATACCGTCACCCCTCCTACGGGCGCCAATTGTCACAACAAAGAGCAGCGAATGGTTTGTGGCGGTAACTAGACACCTTATAAACTGAATAAAAATGCGAAACGAATCCTGCGGGTACGATTATAGAACCAATAGCTTATTTCCCAAGACACATTGCGCATCTGCAAGCCGTAATGGCTGAACGCGGTTCTTACCTTTGGAGATGAAATGGATTACTTTTGCTCACACAGGTGTCTGATTCTGCTCAAAATTGTTGAACTTGAAAACAAAACAATGTTGGACGGAATTGTTTAGCAGACAGCATTCCAGGTTATCGCATAATTGTCTGGTTGTCCAATTTTAGGCCAAATGCGTGCCAACTGACGGTCTGACGTACGTGACGGTATGCCATACATAGGCTCTAGATAGATCTAGACTAGATCTTCTAGATTCTAGAGCTAGATCTAATCTAATTAATCTATGTAACCCTGCAAATCATTTTGAGGGTAGACTATGAGCTTTTTAATTTTTAAAATGACGTCTATTGGGGGCTGGATTGTACTTTACCGGACCACACGTCTGGGCCCGTGATTACTACGTGTGCCTAGCCTAACTACACACTAATTTGACTAATACTTCTTTACATACGGACAAAAGGTAGTTCCGCAGACGACTTCGCGCACAGCACAAGCCAGCAGCGAGGCGAGGTGAGCGAGAGGTAGTGGTTGAGGGTGGGATTTAACTTTGGTGGACCAACAGTAGGGGAGGGTTCAGGGGCGCTTGCTCCCCTGGATTCAATAATAAAGAAAACACACACAAATGCAAAACAAAACAATAACGTGAGCGGACCATGGCGTTAAAGTTAAGAGGATAATCGTGTATAACAATATAACAACAGTGGGGGGGTTTCAGGGGGGCAAGCCCCTGGCAACAATAATTTTTTAAAACACACACACGCATAAATGCAAAACAATAACATGAGCGGACCATGGAGCTAAGTGAACAATCGGGGTAATTAGAGTTGGAACAGGCCGAGCCTTGCTTCGCAGCACTCGCCAAGTCGCGAGCAGGACGGAGGGGGTTGTAATTATATTATGCAAATGAGCTCTCGTGCACATCTCTCGCCCTCCATTGTACTTGGCCGGACCAGGAGTAGGCCCAGGCTAGGCCTAGCAGAGTAGCGAGCAAATAAGAATAGTGGACCACGTGATTAGATTGACTAATTAGCCTCAAGGTGTCAGGGTCGTCGGTCAAAGGGCATGGTGGTACAGTCGTGGTGACTGAAAAACCCGGTAAAAGACGTCAATCGGTGGAAATCGAAGGGTGAGGACATAGAAAAGTGAGATGGGGAGCTCAGAATGGAAGAATAGCGGACCACTAGACATAGTTGTCCGGAAAGTGCAATCTTACCCTATTGGGACTCGAGTAAGATCAGTTTTTTATTATTCAGACCTGAGTCCGAAAATGGGTTTTATCTATCTATCAGACTCGTGGTCCAAAAAAAAATGTTTAATTATTGGGACTCAGTGTCTAAGTCAACTAGGCCTATGTGAGTGTGAGGATGTTACATAATTTGTTAGGGGATTTTACGTAAAACCAGAATTTGAATTAGAACTAGAATTACCGACTAGGACTATGTAACTGTGTCAAAAGACTGCACTCTCATTGCTCAGTGGCAGTGTCTACGTACACACATTAACCGACAACTCAGGGTCTACAGGCACCACTACCGTCCAGTCAACAGCATCATTATTACAGTATCTTCCACTTATATTGACATCCGATATATTGACATTTTGACATATGGACATATTTTCCAATTACGAAATTTTTCCTTCAATATCTTCACTAAACAATTTCTCTTATGTCGACTTTTTTTTCCGGCTCACTCTGCTTTATCGACATGCTTCCTGGGTACCTGACGAAGCCCACGAACATAAATAGGGGGGAAAGCCACGCTAACGGACAATGCATTAATTCTTCGTTAAATCCGCATACTCGCCAAGTAGCCTATATCGACGCACCAAGCTTTACAGTAGGTCATGTAGGGCCTACACAGTGTAGTCTCCAACACATTACTACAGTGCCTCACACTTCACAGATGTAAGCATCTTGAGCGCTGGGCATCACCTCGGACTACCCCCACGCCCGATCGCTCACTCCCCTTCCCAATCAGACTGTTGCTGGCAAGTGCCACGGTCAGTGAGTCAGTGCCTCACCTATCCATTTTCCCCAGCAAGTGGCTACAAACAGGCCTTACAAGGATGCTTCAACAAAGTTTGTGCTCCTCTGTAGTGTGAGCTTCGCACCTCGCGTTGTATGGTCTTTGGTGCCGTAACTCCTACCCCCTCCCCTCTGTCTCTTGTTAGTTTCAAGAATCGGGAGAAGCAACCAGCTAAAAAACTAGTGTTGTCTTTAATCGCTGACCTCCCCTTGTTTTTACATCTTTGGCTTTGTATTTTCATATATCAATATCAAATCCCCTTCCCACAGCTTGTCGATATAAGCGGATTATACTGTACTTCCACCATCACTACAGTATCGTCATTACTTCCATCACCATTTTTATTTCCACATGTTGAATTTCATTTTGTTGTGTGCTATAGTTTTTCCTGTTATTAATTTTTTTTGTTATCATGTCGCACAAAATTGACAGCTGTGCCCTCTTCCCAACACCTCCCTCCCCAGCAAGCCGAGAGTGTGGGATCGCTACTCATGATCTCATTGGTCGACATATTTAACTTTGTCCCCGACAAGGCCAACTCATCTTGGTTGTTCTGTTCATACTAATGATGCAGGGAGGGCCTGTTTAGATAGATCTAATAACTGGATGTTAAAGTTTATGTCTCGATTTTTATGATTGTAATCGAAACAATTTTAAATAAATGCTGGAAATATTTAGGAACAAGGGTAGATCTAGTTGTGTGGTAATCAGTGAAATCTGGGTGTAATATTCAGTTGTGTACCTTCAGCAATCTATACTCTGCCTAATTGTCTCCTTTTTCGTTGTGTTGTAAGTAACGTCATGTTGGACTCGATTCAGGGTCAGAATATAATTTTTGTTTAATCAGACTCGAGTCCGAATAGTCCTTCGTTTAAAAACAGTGTAGTAGGTTAAAAAATTATATATTACAGTGAGTGGCATTTATAAATAATACATAATAATATTATTAGAAAGGTAGCCTAATAATATATTTTATTTTTCTGTTTTATGTGTTATGGGAACACCTAAACTATAGTGTTCTGTAAAATACATTAGGAGATGTTAGGCTGATCACTACTTCTTAGGTCTAAAGTCTTTCTAATGATTGAGAAATCAGAATATCCAATATCCTTTCTCCTAAAATAATCATATTAAATTATATCACGTCACAGTGAATGATAGTAGAACCGTAGTGGTGTGTAAGTCAAAATACAGCGCATTCAGTAACGTACATGGCTTAGAATGGATATCTTTGTTTGATTAAATTTCTACTTTAACTTAGCTCTAAGTCTAATGTTAAAAAACAGGAACCATGAATTTCAAGTTTTAAAAAGTGACAAATCACACTTATCACTGTGTGTACGTTACTGAACTGACAAAATTTAGTGTTTTGCAACTTACGTATGTGCAAGTTAGTTATATTGGTAAATTGAAACACCAAACCTATCTTTAAATTTTATGGTGTTGCCACCCCCTGTCCAATTGAAGAGAGTTATGCAGGAACTACCCTTTCAGTAAAAGATCGCATGCGGTACCGAAAAGAAGACGCCAAGTGCTCGTTTTGTTGTAATCATGATCCTGTGCTAATGAGTATCCCACACACAAGAAACACCAAACAAAGGCTTTCGCGGTAATTAAAACTCAGATTTGTACTAAAACTCTCTTTTTTTTTCATTTTGCGAACTTGCTGTGGTTAAATTGAGTTTAACGTGTTGGGTACATGCAACAAAAGACAAAAAAAAAACTTTTAAAAACTATGTTTAATAATAAACCATCAAGTGACCACGAAAAAATAAAGTACACAATGATCTTCAGAAAACCGCCGGCGATGAGAAAGTGAGAGGCGGGGGACACTCAGTGACATCCCGAGTCCGTAGTTTATCGCCTACTCATATGCAAGTGAGAGGCTGTCCCAGCGTTAGGATATCAGTGTACGAAAAAAACCATGGGTTGGAATACAGCAGGTTTAAAACATGTCACGTTTTAGGCTAGTTTCTCTATGGTAACTCAAATTTTAACCCATACCTCTTCATTCTTTTGACAGGCAGTGGATCCGAGGCCCCAAATGTATCGGCGGAGCAAAGTTGCATAATAAGACTGTCATCATCACCGGAGCAAATGGTGGTATTGGTAGAGAAATAGCAATGAACTTGGCCAATCGAGGTTTGTGTTTAGTATGATTACTGTTATAAGGCTTTAAAATCTTATTTTGCCTTTTCATCTAGTCACAATGAAATAATTGTTCTATCTTCAATGATTGCATCTCACTATTTTGTGTTTCAAGACAATCCAATAGCCTCACAGCAACCTATCTTGTTTCTATTTTCATGCTGTTTTCAGATTGGCTTCATTCCAACATTAACATAAAATCATTTGCAATGAATATATGTATTAATTTTTTTTTTTTTTTTCTCCATTGATGAGAACAAAAATTGAACTGTTGAATTTATAAAATTGAAGAAATATCAGTAGTGTTATGATGAAGTAGATAAGATTTTGTTGAACCATCATTTTCTTTTGTTTTCACTAATGCTTATTTCGCATATTTCCTGCTTTATTTTGCCAGTTTCAATACTTTTAAGGGAGAGGGCAGCAGCTGAAAGTTCCAATTTAGATCGAAATTATCCATTTTAAGATGTAGATATTTTTTACTTCTTCGGCCCCTCTTACAACCATTCCATTACGGAAAAACCGCATAAACCCTTATTTCGTCACATACAGTCATTTTAGTCACCGCCATACCCTTCTAAAGCCTTTTTTTTTTTTTTTTGTCGTCTTGTTTTTTTTCAAAATGCTGTTTTTCTATGTACTTTTTAAAACAACTCTGCCATTTTTCATCCAATCTTCGTATGAAATTTTTACAGAATGAAGAGAAGATATAACACTATAAAATTATTTTTGGAATATACAATATTTGGAAAAGATTTTTGTTGGTGGTGTCTGGAGTGTGAACTTCAATGGTTTTTTGCAGCCTTGAATACTACCTCAAGGGGAAAAAAATGTTTCTTAACCCGCAAACACCATATCAATTTATTTCCTCTGAAAATCAGTGAAGTATTAACTTAATAAGACACATCTACAAAATCCAATCTGGCCGCTGTCTTCATGGCAACGAAACTTTTTTAAAAATACATTTTTTTTGCATATTTGAAGAATCCACACTTTATATATGTGAAGTTTGGTCCACAAATAAGTTAGATAGCCCTCAGTTCCCCCTCCCCCCCGTATGATTTTCATTTTAGTTATTTTTAATATGCAGCATCTTCTTATCACTGTGTAATCTCCACTATATCTATATTCTTCTCGTCTGACATATTACTCTTTTCTTTCAGGTGGCAAGATAGTTTTAGCTTGTAGAAATGAAACGGAGGGAAAAAAGACTGCAGAAGAGATCCGAAAAGAGACCGAGAACATGGATGTCTACTTTATGAAGCTTGATCTCAACTCTTTCCAGTCTGTCAGGGACTTTGTTTCCAGATTTAAAAAGAGTAAGTAGACATTTACATCAAATAAGTTTCCTCATTCCAGTTTTCCTACATTCTAAAAAATTCCAAGAGAACTAATTGTAACAGCTCAGTTTAAAGTTCTGGGAACTTTCTTTCTGAGGTTATTCTCGAAATATGAAATGTGATTCAAAAACTCTTTTGTGTGTTTACAGTAAGAAAGTGACAAAACATCCAATTGATTAAGATTTATTTATTCTGTATGCTTTTTAATTTCTGAATTGATCTTCTTTTTTTGATTTTTTATTTGCCTTGATTTTGTGGTTTTGGTATCCATCCACAGAGGAGAAAGAGCTTCATATTCTGATAAATAATGCTGGTGTCATGATGTGCCCACAAGAGACAACAGAGGATGGATTTGATGTTCAATTTCAGACGAATTACCTGGGTTGGTGTTTACATTAGTTAAATTGTCTTTATTGCTATTCTGTGGCTGTTTCTCTTTTTTTTTTTGGCCTAAGTTATGTGAAATGTTTGATTTACCCATTTGTACGACTATAAATAATGTATGCAGACCTGTTAAAATAAGAACACCTTCCTTCATTAAGCATGATGGCTTTTTTAAAAGTAACTTAGTTCTAATTTACTAACAGTTAAGTAAAGAAAGTCCTTGTAAGGTTATGATAATGGCAAATTAAATTATACCTATGAATTTGTTTAATTGTTGGCCTTAAATCGGGAGAGAATACAGATATATATATATATATATATATATATATATATATATATATATATAACACAAAACTCAGGACAAACAAGATTATTCTTGGGTCCTATTTTTGTTTTATTTCTCTTTTCATCACTCCTGTACATAATGTGTCTTATTTTCTTGTATTTGCAGGTCATTTTTTGCTGACAGAGCTGCTGTTAGATATGTTGAAAGAGTCTGCTCCAAGTCGCATTATTAATGTCACAGCTTCAGCACAAAATCTAGGAGACATAGACTTCGAGGATATAAACAGGGAGCAAAAGGGCTACTCTCCAGGAGAGGCTTATGCTCAGAGTAAAATGGCTGTTGCGTTGCACACTTTCCAGCTGGCAAAGAGATTAAAAGGTAGCTATTGGAACTTCTTCGATTTTTATCTGTGAAGGTATAGTTAACAATACGATGCCTTTTTTAGACTTTCAGTATTGAAGTTGTAGCAACTTCTTTTTTCTGTCATGATCTTGTTGATAGACGTATGAGTATTGTGCTCAATGTCCAACAATCATTTAGGTTCTTGTTATCCCACTGACTGCCAATACCAACACTGCTTTGGCAGGCCTAGACATGCGAGAATTACCAAACCCTCACCCCTGCTGGCCAACCCGGGTTGAGAGGGATACAGCATCACAGCAGAAAGACAAGATACTCAATACAAATTTTCTCCCCACTGAAAAATCAAACTTAGGTCTCCTTAGACCAAACTGCTACGCCACAAACACCGGTAGGGTCTACTGTGAATAGTTATCCAACGATAAATAATCTAAAATCTGGGTTATATTGGGATATCTACCCATTGCAGTCTGCGAGTTAAAGTTTACAGTAGTTATTTTTTAAGGTTAAATGTCCTGTAAATGTTCTGCTGTTGTTCACTGGGTTTTGTCAATAAAAGGCAATAATCATCTTATATGTTGATGAATTATACAAGCTGTTCTCAAATATTGTATTGTGTGTATGTCCATATACCTTGCCATACTTTCTTTTGGTACTTTATGCATTTTTTTTCCAAGTTTTTTTTTCAGTTTGACAACAATAATGATCAATAGTATTACCGTTATTCTCAAGAAGGTCGTTTTTATTTCAGGCTCCTTTTGAGCAACATTCTATTTTCCTTGTATCATCCTTAAAGTGAAGAATTCAATTTTTCTTTCAGACACCAAAGTGACTTGCAATGTGGTAAATCCTGGAATCTGTAACACGGATGTTTACAGGCATTTGCCACTGAAGTCTAAGAAATTTATCCGAATCAGCTTTGGTCCCTTTGTGTGGATGCTCATGAAATATGCAGAGGATGGTGCACAGATGGCTATCTACTGTGCCACTACAGACGAGGTGGCCGAAGTCAGTGGAAAATATTTCAAGTGAGTGCACAGAACCAGGTGTAGATTTGTTGAGAATAATCCAATGATTGCTTTTATTTTCAGTTTGAAAAGTGAATTCAAATTATGAGAAAGCAGCTATGGCAAGATGATGTTCAACACTCAGTACCCCAGAAATATGTTGTTGCAGCTCTTCCTGTTGTTCAAAGTATCAAGGCACAGAGAAGTTCTGATACTTTGATACAGTATAGTCTCCGCCTAAACGCACGGTGCTCGGGAGGGCTCCTGAGCGTGTGTTTACATGGAGCGTGCGTTTACATGAACCTTTGCCAGGGGAGGAAGGGACGCAGTCATCTCAGTTCCTTATTACTCTAGTAATCTCCCTTGGAGGAGGGGGTCATTTTGGCAGATAAGGTGACGACACGTGTCTGTTTTGTGAAGGATTCCCCAACAGGGGTTAAGGAAACAAACTCAAAGTAATGAATATGCACTATAAACGTCGGGAACAGATAGCCTATGAGGAAACGGTTGGTGATAGTCATAGAGTCGACAGACCAGCCACGTGGCTTTCCAAGCGACCGTCCACGACCGTAAATTCATGCAGAATCATCCTCGAGAAACATCATTTTCTCTTGTGATTCGTTGAACAAGTACGTTTTAAGTTCTTTGAGCGCAGCTTATTAGGCTTACTTGGCTAATCTTTAATCCTATAGAGGCCTGTCTAGTGTTTTACGGCATTTACGCATTTCGCGCATCAGGCCTAGATCTAACTAAACATTACACGCATTCAATCAAACTCAAACACCAGTCAGAAACTTTCTCTCAAAGATGCATTTCCAGTGACCAATCAAAAAACATTTCAGTCCCCCCAATCCCCCAACATTTATTTTAACCGACCAGCCCGAGGCCGAGACCTATGCGTCAGTGGAAAGTAGGGTGTGTAAACGCTGTCTATCACTCTCTTTGTCCGGCGTGAGGGGCACTCTCACTAAATATCCGATTTTCTAGTAAATTCTAGGCTTGCCATATGCAGTCTGTGCAGGTTGTAGTGAAAATTTCCCCTTGCCAATCTTAACTTGTCGGCATGTTTCGCGGATCGGAGCGTGCGTTTAGAGGGAGTGACCGTGCGTTTGTACGTCTAAATTATATAGTAAAAAACCCTTCAGATGACGAAAGTGTGCGTTTGAGCGGAGCGTGCTTTTGTATGGCGTGCATTTAGATGGAGACTACTGTATCAGGTATCATTGTTAAAGAGGCAATTTAAAAGATAGTAAAAACACAATGATAATTTTCTGAAAAGAAAATAATGAGTGATATTTATCTAAAACTGCATTTGTTGGACAGTGTCCCGTAAGTGCATTGAGACAACTTTTAAAGTTAGAACTTGAATGTGTATTATTTGAGCTCACCAAACTCACATTCTACTGCTGACCGGTTTTAATAGTTGCTTCACTGTTCTGTGTTTGTCATTCTGAACTAGGCCTACCCTTGTCAGAACTGGTGCCAGGAGAGGTGACTTTTTTTCAAATGAACGGGCTTGCAGGCTAGTCTACGCTGGTCAGACTGAAGTTTTCAGGTGTTGATACAAGAGAAAAGACAGACACAATATGTAGCCGTACAATGATATGTTTAGCAGTGTTGTATTAAGAACTGAAGTTAGAGGAATATTGAAATAAGGGATGTGGGTATAAGTGAACTGAATTGTATTGGAAAAATGTAAAAAAAAAATAAAAACCAAAAAGAAAAGAACATCTTGATCTGGTCTCGGAGGGGAAGACTTTGTTTTGTTTTGTTTGGGGTTTTTTCTACTGTCATCTTTTGAAGCACTAATCTGTCCTTTAATCATGTGTGTCATGAATTAAAAATCTACTTCTTTTCCACAGAGAGTGTAAAGAAGCAGAAATTGATGGAAAATGTATTGACCCTATGCTGCAAGAACAGCTTTATCAAGCCTCTCTCAAGTGGATCAAAGGTGCTACACAAGCTGTCGAAGATGGTGCTGCTGGCGGGGAAAAGGAGAAAGAAAAGAAAGCACAGAAGAAAGAACCTAAAAGTGACTCAAAAATGGAACGGGTTGGAATTTAATTGTGAACATAGGTGCAGTTACATCACTGTATAATCAAGTGTAGTATGTCAGCTATGGATTGGTATGCTGTTTCAAGGAGCAAAAGTATGGTCTGCCTGCTTTTTTTACCGCCTTTTGGTGATATTACTTGCTTACCTATCTTAGGTTTGTTTGTTTTTCTTGTCTTTTAATGGTTGTGCATAGTTTTTTTTACTGACTTCAAGGGCTTAGAGTGCAGTGTATGTGAAGACAGGATTTGTGTGTGATTGAGTTTATTTCTTGCAAGCTGCACATTGCTGATATTGTATAGAAATTTCCTTACTTATGGTTTTTGCAATCATAATTATTTGTCTGGTATTGTCGACGTCCACTCTGTTATAGTTGTAAGTCATACTGTTGCTCCAATTTGCCTTGGTATAACAGCCGTCTGCATAGTAGAAGGTAGGCTTGCTAAGATACACCTGTACTACTTTTAACCTGTGGTCATATAGAGATGCATTATAATGATTCTGTCTCTGATGAAAGTTACAAAAATGTGTTTTTATATTTAAACAAATGGTAGTAATTACCTTTCGGTTTTTGTCTCAGATCTTACTCAATTTTGGCCTTTACCTAGTCATGTACTACTTAATTTATGTAAGCTATCTGTTTCTTTTAGTACCAAGATTATTGTTGTGTTTTGTGTGTTGGGTAGAAAGCTCAAAAGGAACAAAAGAGAAGTAAAAAAATTGTTAAGCTACAGTTTTTTAACTCTGTAGATTTATATAAATTGAAAATATATATTTTTTTAACCACATTCATTTTTTAAAAAAAAAGAAGCTGTCTGATCAGTGGTTAGTGACAGCTTTCAGGTGATATTAAATGTGCCTCATATACTTGCCCTTTGTCAGATTCTGTGTTTAACCCCTTTATTGCGAGGGGGTGTGTGTTCATACTATCGACATTGATTTTCATTTAAGCTCATTAGCCAGGAAAGTAGTCCCATTATCTCAGTGTCATTGAACCCATCGTCTAGATCTGGCCCACTCCTGACATATTCGGACCCTGGATCTTTGATATTGCCACTTTCCTCGTTTTTCTCATTCCCCATCTTACCCTCAAGTTCAAACAACTTGCAAATGTAAGTCAAGAACTGAAATTTGATGCCTTTTTCCAGTCATTCTAGTGTTCACATTTTGCAAGAATACGCTTTTGCCAGCAAGACTAGACTTGTGCTAATCGATCGCTTGCAAGTCTAGTAGAAAAGCAGATTTCGCAAGTTTGGTACCAATATGCACATTTTTAAACTCCCGTATACAAATCCAGGCAGTGCTTGTGGTAAAATCTCCATACAGAAAAATTAGAGCCAGATGATTAGCAGGATGTACATGTAACATCTTAGGCAACCAGGAACAGAAGAATTTGCAGACTTTCATTACGTCCATGGTACAGCACAAAACTAAAAATTGTGCATTTTCATGATGTGAGCCTACCTTGTATGACATGAGGCAACAATGGGGTTAACCTTAATATTAATTTTCTTCTGTGGTTGTGCTTGGTAGTGCTTGTTATTGGTGGAGGGGGGTTCTTTCGCTTTAATAAAAATTCCCCCTCCCCTCTGAAACTGCTTTAATACATACTGGCCATCAATTGGGCAAACACTTTTACCAACACACACGCCTCTTATGTTTGGTACCTGTATGTGTTTGCGTATAATTATTCCTTATTTTTTAAATTAACATTACGCAGTCAGTCATCCCTAGTGTTAGTGTTCTTTTGAGTCCTGAATGATTTAAGGCATAAATAAGATATTTAGTTTTAATTGTTCATTTTATATGCTTTTTAATTTCAGCATAATGTTAATGAAGAATGTAGCCCCCCACTTTGTTAAAGTCAGGTTTTGTCAGAATAAAGCTTTTGAGGATATTTGTAGTAGATATTAATTTCATTGTCTTACACTTAAAGAGGGAATTCTGTTATCAAAAATAATATTTTATATGTCTTTAGCAAATAGTTGAATTAGTATGCTATTGAAAAGGTAAGTGATGAGACTGTACTGTATAGAGTAAGCACACTCATGATCTAGTGCCTTTCTCCTCAAGATCTGCTCTGAACTTCATTCACATGCATTTGATGTGTTACTGCTTGGGTCAGCTAATTTGTCATTTGTGATGAAAGTGAAAGTTATGGGTTTGTTTGTTTCTTACTGTTTCATTTTAGCTTTCTCAGCTTACCTTTATATTAATAATAGTTCTTTGATGTGGACTTGCCATTTGTTTTGATTGTGGACTATGAAATTATTTTGATGGTATGGGTTGTTTTACAGCTCTGGTTTAGTAGTGTCTATGTTTGTTAACTCTGCTTCTTCATGGTTTTTAAATCACTTGATAAATGTGTCGCAATGGATGGGTTCACTGGGCTATTTTCAGAGAGATGCAGAGTTAACCGTCTTTTACAAGTGTAGAAGAGGTGTCAGCTTTTGTTCAAGTTATTTTTCTTTCCTTGATTGAATGCAACCTTTCCTTCATTTCTGTTTTGGCATTCATGTAATCTATGCCCAATACATTTCACGTACAATTTGTTAACTCCTCATCCATGTGCATATGTGTAGCTCAAAGATTAAAGATAACCGTGACAATGCTTTGCATTAGATATTTCCGTGCAGTTAGTTTCTCTGTGATGATGAATTTCATTGTAAGTTATGCTTAATTTCAATCATGATCAATGACTGAGATTGTGTGTCATTTTTGTTTATGCAAATATTCCAAGACGTAAATGATAATCTTTTTTTTTTTCATTATATGTTAGCCTGATTTTCTTCATATGCAAATTGTTTGTTGTGATCATATCAGATGTGTTTATGTTTGTCCTTTTTTTTTTCTGAGTTATAACAAAGTGTTGTTTGTTAGATGTTATTGTTGTTTCCTAGCAAAGCAATATATGCCTATTGTATACAGATTACCATAATGTCTTGACTTATACATGGTAGTTATTTCCAGTGTTAATCAGAATTCTTTGTTTTTGTCTAAAACCAGTTCTTGCTTTCTTAAGTTAAAAACATTATACATTTAAGGATCTTCAGCAGTGAATAATGAGGAAAATTACAGTATGCATTTTTTTTTTAAACTGTTTTTTTTAAAGTTGCTGGTGATCTAAATATGAATGGTTGTCTATAAATTAGTGAGTGTGTTTGCATAAGAACAGCTCTTATATGTTTTTGTAATTTCTAATAATAATAGAATGACTTGTTTTTTCCTCTTGGATCACGGCTAAACTCTGGGGGGTTTTTTGCATCTAACATTGATCTCCTGCTCCTTACCATTCTTATTTAATTAATGCTCAAATGTTAACATGTAGTCGACTTATCTCTAAAAATTCTGTATTTGATTAAGAGGAAGCGCCACTCATTGCACGCTCAAACAGGGATTGTTCATGAGGAAGTATTTTTTAAAAATTTAACTCATGTATAGGATCATCCTATTTTGTCTCTTTCTTGACTGTAAATTGAGTTGATCATGCAGTCATGTATTTTAAGTATGTATATAAAAGTTTTTCTCAAAGGTGGTATAGGTCCAGTATAATAGTTTTGTATGTTATCCTTTTTATCAAATAGAATAGAAAATTTTAGTTCAACTGTAACCAAGAACTGAAAATGTGTATTTGGACACTTAAACAATTTAATCAGAGACCTTTTCTAAAAATACTTTCAGCACAAAAAGGTTGGAATTGCACAAGCACCTGGGGGAAAATTGAGGAAAGGGGGTTTGTTTTTTGTTTTTTCATTTCTAAGATTCATGTATAATTTATGTCTTCATTTGCTTCTCTTGGAATTCTTGTTCAGTTTCTTTTTTTCTAAATTTATTTCCTGATAAACATTTCATTTTGTCTTATTGACTATTTTGCAGACGTGCAAGAAGACTGGAAGAACATTCCAAATATGAATGAGATTCTTTTTTAAATCTTACTTAAGATCTGTTGACCTGTGATAGTGATAGGCCCATTTTTCTAATGTTCATGACAATTCTTAAAACTAGGTTTTTCTTTGTTCGTGTGCTTACTTCATGCATTAGTTACATCCCCGATTGATTGAGGGTTATTTCAGATGTGTTTCAATATCCTTTTAAAAGGGCAAAATCTCAATGGTACTGTGATCAATGCATGTCTTCATTGACATGTATTAAATTATTGTCTTCCATTTAGTCTGTCTGTCTTTAAGTTTGCTTAACAGTCAAAATGCGAGTTTTGAAGAAATTCATGTTTGTTATACTGTGTGAAGAAAAGGGATTCATTCACTTCATTTGAAGAATGTGCTTTAAAAGGTAAGTTATAACAAAACCCCTCTGCCAAGTCCCAGTTACTTGCTCATGTTCTGAAGGAACCATCATCTTCTTTGTACATGTACACATATTTTGTTATGGCAGTGTGTTTGATGTCCCTGGTATTTAAAATTAAATGTGCTGCATGCTGTAAGTATTGAACATTCATCTCATTGCTCATAGGGTTATTTGCATTTAGGTTTTCTTGCGTGGCTGGGGTATGAAAAGAAGAAAAGTGAAAATTACCAGTATTTTGGTTCAGTTGTTGTTCAGGTATGCAGGACATCTCATCCAGTGTATGTTCCTGCTACCTTTTAAAGATGAGTTTGTTCCAGTTCAACGGTGTCTATATTTTTTTAGTAAAGGGAAATTTTTATATATAATATTAAATAATAGTAATGAATTTCCCAGCCCTCCGAGAAAGCCAGGCAATACTATTACTATTTATTGCAACAGATATGTTATTTTTAGTTGTGCCGGGGAAACAGAGCTTTGATTAGGATGCAAAACGGAAGATAAATTACTTTCAGTTACCTGTATTAGTTCATTATGAGGTGTTGGATTGAATTCAAGGACAAGCTTCACAGATGGAGAGAATTACTGAAAGTTAAAAAAGTATTCTAAATTGTTGGGGGGGGGGGGGGGGAACATTTATGAAAGAGGCATGGGGGAACATGGTGTACAGTATGCTATAAGACTGTTCTCAGTCCCACGGCCAGAAGATTATTGAATTTGGCTTAATAGTGATGTATTCCCGACTTTCGAAAGCAATGCCTGTGTAAAGATGTGTCTTGTGATATTTTAAAACTTTTGGAGCGAATGGTATTGGTACTACTTGTACGTATACATTACAATTTGAAGTCTGCGCAATCTCCATGTTGGGAATATATTATATGCACTTTTCTGAGCCAGTTCACCACCCACTGCGCTCAGGAAGTGGGGTTGTGTGTGTCTTAGCCATTGAGGGCATGTTTTGTAATATTTATGTATTGACAACATTAGGCGGCTGTTAGTTACTAACAGCCGCCTAATAGTTGGAGGGGGGAGAGCGCAAAAGGGGAGACTCATCTGTGAGAAATGATGAAACAGCCTAAAACTCCATCACGATAATCAAATCTGTTGGAATTTTTTGGTGTTTGTTAAGGGAAGTTGCAATGCATAAAATAAAGAGGGCACCAGAAAAAAAAACAGGGGATTTGAAATTCTTTCATGTTAAAGTGTAGTATTAGTATTATATTTCATGTGCCAACCACCTCGTGTTTTCTTCAATCAAAAGAACAACAATGAAGTCACCACTTCACCCTTTTTTTTATACAAGTGACTGACAAATGACTGCACAAGAACCGGATGTACGTTTTAAATCGAAATGGTCTTTACTGAAAAAGAAATTTCATTCCTATCCCCTGTAAAGGATAGACATGGTAGGCTTACATGTGTTGGTGTTATCCCAGGTGTTTATATATTTCTGTGTGAGTGTATCCTGTATCTTAGCATCGTACTGAGGGATATATAAATCTATAGATATAAGCGTTGAATATGAATGATATATATGTGCTGTTTCAACTACATGTACTTGGCCATTCCAAACACTGATGACATCAATCAGATGAACATGTTTACAGTGGAGTCCACTTATAACGAGTCCTGAAACAACGAGAAGTCTGTTATAAAGACACCATTCTAAAACCCAGTTTTTTTCCCTTCTTTACCTTAGTAAAAAAAATACTGCTATAGCGCAATCAGACAAACACGGGAGTCGGTTATAGCAGAATATTGCTGCTGCTTTGCACAGCGCACAGGCCAGTTATACATATAAACCTCGCCAGTGATCTAGCGAAACCTAGGACCTTACACCAACTCCTTGAACGAAACAAAGAATAGGAGAGCCCACGTTTGCCAACAATGAAGGCCGGAGCGAATGAGTGGGGAGGGTGTGGTAAGCGCAGACAAGCAGAACGCATCGTGTGATAGGCCAGCCTAGTCTAGATTATCTAGGCCTACCACTACGGTGACTACCCATGCCCTCACTTCTCCGAAGCGTGGATGGAGAGGTCACAATGCTGTGATGGATGGAGTGCTGTGTAGTAACGTGCGCAAGCAGACGAAACACACCCCGGGGTGCGGTGGGGTGGAGGACAACGCAGCGGGCGAGTTAGCCCAGAGCGCATTCTTTCTGATCGCCAACGTAGTGCTGTCAACATCGCTAGCGCTTGAGAAAGAAACCCGATTCGATTTTTGATCAAGTAAGACCTAACTAGAGGTCATGTAGAACGTCATCATCAGGGGAGATAACAAAAAGAAATAAACAACACCAAACTCCTAGATTAGGCCTACTTTATTATTTCCATTGAATTTATTACTGGATTCCTCATAACGAGAATCCTGGTATAACGGACATTTCGCACCGGTCCCCTCCCTCTCATTATAACAGGATTCCACTGTATTTAGTTTTGCTAATTTCTTTGCATCTGCAGAGCAAAAAGATTGCTGCTGGTAATGTTCTTCCATTGTAAGAGGGAAAACAATTTTTAATAGGGTCTCATCAGCTCATTGACTCATTGGTATGTGTTCAGGGTAATGGATGATGCTGTACATGTACTCCAATCATGAATTGGAACCCAGTTTTGGGCCAGTTGTTTGTTTGAACATCATATCAGAAGATCAGTCTACTGCCTTTGAAATTAAATGAGGCAAAGTGAATTCATAAGTGTAACTTGGACTAGGACTCGCTCATACTCTTTCCAAAAACATATAAGCTATCTTATACCTTGTAACATACATGATGAAGTGCAAAAATGTCAGCACCTCAATCTGACCTTATATTTGGGAGCGTATAAGCAATGTTTTTTATAACAATATTATATCATTATTACATGTATTCATGTATGTTCAATGAAATTTGTGTGTTTATGTACTTGTAATCTCAAATTCATGTAATTTTTAAAATAAAATCCCGAACACTCATCCTTGTTGCTTGCAGTACTGCTAGATAATGAACAGATTTCAGAGAATGACAACAAGTGTTTGTAAAGCCTTAAACAATGACTTGCTTATCTCTATTTTTTTACCAATGCTTGGTTCCTTTTCTGTGAGTTGTTGAAAATGGGTCGCTGTTTAAGGTACCACTTCTCTGACCAGTAATTTAGTAAACATTCAAAAATTAAGACATGAAAATAAATGCATAAAAATTGAATATTTCCCCTGTTCGTCTGTTATTGAACCAGACGTTTCAATCAAAATCAAGCCACTTTCTCTTTTCAACACCATAGATTTCTGTTCAATCAAAGGGCGTACTTCCTTGCAATTGTTATAAAATTCCTCGAAATCCAGATATGAGGGGTAATAGTCTCGACAGACTCGAGGATTAAACAGCTATTTGTATGATGAATTTAGGTGAAACTTTACGAACAAACAACAGTTCAAAGCATAAGAAGAGACTGATCAATTTCTAGGATTCAAAATGCTGATATATATATGGGAAAAAGGTGTGTTTGGACAAGGACAGTGGTCACACGTGGTGCAATTTAGTCTTTCCAGCACTTAGAATGAGTTTGATCAGTTTTAGTTTTAGCCCATGAATTATTACTGTCAAATGTCAAATCTGAAACCACCTTCAGCCAGGGACTGCAATTTTATTCTTCAATTTGACATTACATTTCTTAAGGTCTTATGCAAAATCAAAATTTATAGGGTCAGCATATAAGCTGGGAGCAGGCCACGAATTATTGAGTGAAACTAAAATATCACAGAATCGTTTAGTTTAGTTTTGAGGTTTTACGGCACTTGCAACTGCATAGGATCACAGAATCAAATTTTACACTTCTGCATTTTCTTTGATAAGGACCTGATAATGAGAGATTGCACATGACTGGAAATGACTTTATTGGATCCAGAATTAGCTTGATTTTGATACAGTGCAGCCTCTCTATAACGACATTGTCGGGACCAGAAAAAAATGTGGTTATAGAGAGTTGTCATTATAGAGAGGCAACCAAAAATGTCTAATGATAAATAAGGAAAAAATCGGGACCTGGGCACCATGTTGCTATACAGACGATATCGTTATATCGAAGGTCGTTATAGTATGTCCCTACCAAGTAGTCACCACTGTTTTTGTTGTCAGCAGTTAAAAAGTAGCCAGCATCATTCTTTTCCTAATGCAACTGTTTCTAAAATCGGACACAGATAACAATCATAAACACGGAAAGCTCTAAATCAATTTGCCATTCCCCAACTGATATCACTTAAATTTTTTGTTATCGGCTAACCTGAATTATGAGTATGTTGCACACATTTATCAATCCTGGCGTGTCTGAGTTATCCGTGCCTGACTGTACTTGCGATCTACAACGTGCGTTGCCAAAACTAGACAGTAATTGGAAGAAACCGCAATGTGATATCAAGCACAGAAATACATAATGGCAAGTGTAAAAATTAGATATATATATTTATTCAATCATTGTCCGACAAAACATCATCTTCCATTGGGTTCTCTTGATCAAGATCACTGCCATCCTCAGGGTCTTCCTTATCCCAGTCCTTCATTTGAGCACCCATCATGTAGTCATCTTGTAGAATTTTCCATTTTCCACTGCCTTCCTTTTTGTCTGTCTTTGACTGCAACAGAACAACCAATTAAATCATCATACAGATGTAACCAATAATCTATGAAAAGCACACACTTCAAAACAAAAAAATGTTTTCAGACTAATATCCCAGAATCAACGTGCAACTAGACTTCTGAACACAGATATATATATATTGAGAGGGGGGGGTAGTCTAATTTTGTAGATGTTATATTGCCTGGGGTTTTTTTTTAATGGGGGGGGGGGGGGGGATTTTTATGGTTATGAAAACATCATTTCTCTATCAAATTCTCACAATGCTCATAAACAATAATTGTTAGGTTTAAGATCTAAAAAAATAGTCTCCATTTTTCAGCTTTGTGTTTTAGAAATAAAACTTATAGGCCTACCATACCCTCTCTAATGATGAATAAGTAGGCAAGAGTGCAAATCAGGATCAAAACTTGATAAACGATAAAAATGCAGCTGCTCCAAAGCAGCTACCTCGCTAATAAACTTTAAGTAATCGGCCTGCTTATTACCTCTACAAATCTCTATGCCCTGAAGTAATTTATTGATCATTCGAAAAGAAATAAAGAAAAACAATTTAAGAAATGTACAGCTGTTCTGTAATGAAACGTCATTATTTTTTGCACACATGACTATTCAAACGAAATCTAATTAAATGACTTTAAAACATCATCATTTCAAAACAGTATGACATCGTATTTCAATTACATAAAAAAAATATTGAAAGAAAGGCATCCAAAATTAATGTTTTATTGAGACATTGATAAATAATATTCCATTTAAGGAGGGTGCGGCTTTTTGGACCTACCTTGGTAACTATAAACCCCTGATAATGTTTTTTTTTGCAAGGAGGTGTAATAGGCAATTTTTACAATCAACATTACATCTTTTTTTTAAATTCATGGTAACCACAGCCATGTTGAAACTAACAGCTTTCACTTTCATAACATCAAAGAGGATTTTGAAAAACATTCCAACCAAATTTATTTTAATTTGGCACTTTGATAGATATAACATGAACAAACTTTTGTCCAGCTTGGCTCCAGTATTTACCCCCCACCCTCTGTGATTACACAATCACCCATAACTTAAGTTATAAAGGCAACTATTCATCTATCTATCTGTACAAAGGTAAGTTATCATGTGAACAACAAATACTGAAAACATTGGAATTTTAAGAGGTGGAAAAATATTGTAAAAAGTGGAAGAAATGAGAAAAATGAAATTTGTTCCGCAATAAATCGTGTTTTCTGAATATACATTTTCTGCCCTTACCCGAAGTTTTGAAAGACACTTTTACTACTTTTAGGGGAACATATGCTCTCTCCAAAAATTCTCATCAAAGCTGGTTTTAAGCTTAGAAATGAATAAATCAGATACCATAATTTGATCCAAAATCATTAGTTGTAAAAGCACCCCCCCCATTGAGCAACAGAGAGAGTATACCTCTTTGCCTTTCAGAAGATCAAGAAATTTCCCCTTCGTGAATTCTGACATCACTTTGTCTTTTTTCCTCTCTGACGCTCCCACGGATGACAGCTTCTGCTTCATGACTTTCTGGTGTTCATGAACAGAACGAAACAGCTGCACCATACCCCTGGGTGGAATAAAATAAGGACACTCAGCATAAAAGAGATCAGGAATGACGCAAGTCAAAAACAATAACACACTAATGGGTCGTAAACAAGACATCTCTCAAGAACTACAGAATAGAAAGCTTTGTCCTTTTATATGTACCACAAGGAAACAAATCGAGGCACCATACCCAAATAAGATTGCAGTAACATAAATGCACAACAGAATCATACAATCCCATTGATCATTGTGATTAATTGATTCATTAACTAGCTTAAAGATCAAAACAAATACAGTCAAACATGCCTTAGCAGCCACCTGTAATGATGACTACCCGGTACTGTTCCTAGCGGTCCCTGTTCCATGCGGACTCTGACATTAGTCCGTTTCACAACAAGTTGGCCCCAAAACCTGCTCACAGCATGTACACACTAAAGTTTGCTGCCTACCCATCCTCAGACTGAGCGTGTATGTAATCAATGCAAAGGTGCAACTGGGCTTATGGCTTATTGCCTGCCCTGCATATTGAATAATAATAAAGAAAACGGCCAAAAAGTGATAGATTTACCATACTCGGGAGTACAACGTAATCTATACATGTTATGTTAATATTGTTAGTTTTGCGGCCAGTGGACATTTGCATCTCTCCCCCCCTCTCTCTCTCTCTCTCTATCTTGCTCGCTCGCTCGCTCTCTCATTCACTCCGTCTCTCACTCCCCCCCCCCCCTCTCTCTCACTCTCTCATACACACACACATACACACACAGTCGCGCACACACGCCAGGGAGCAGTCATAAATGAAGTGAATAAATTAATATTGCTCATGTCAACAGCATTTAGGGGGCTCTTGTGGTCGAAACGTTAACCCTATCCGTACGTCGTGTTTTACTATCATATCCATACAACGTGGGGAACTCTGTGCCACCACTTTCAAAGAGGAAATTTACTCGTTAATCCGATCCGTACGCTTTGCATAGCAGTCTGTCAAAATCATTTTTTGAGAAATACAGTTTCAAAGAGATCTTCATATTATTAAATCTTCATATATTAAATAATACTTATTAAGTATTTTAAAACGAGAAGAATACAACCCGGGAGGTACAAAATGACCCCAGGGCGTGCGTATAGGGTTAATGCTCAAATGTTAACCTAAAGTCGACATATCTCTAAAAATCCTGTATTCGATTAAGACGAAGCGCCACCCATTATACGCTCAAACATGGATTTATTCACGAGGAAGTATTTTTAAAAATTTAACTCATGTATAGGATCGCGTACGGATAGGGTTAAGGTGTCTGCCTCTCATTTAATAATAGGTCCCAGGTTTGAATCCGGACAGGGACAGAAAATTTTATCTTTTCACATCCGTTCCTGCTCTCTAACAATGTTCTGTCATCTGCTTTCATCTCCACTTTCTTCCCTCACCTCCCCCCCCCCAAACCTCTGGGCTCTTGAATCTTTCCTCAGTCTTTCTACTGCTACTCCTTGCCTCCTTCTAACTGCTGTCTTTCAGCCACACCCCTGATCTTATGGTAGGCAAGATCTAACACCTAGCCTTCTTGGATAAGGGCGAAAAATATATATGAGGTCCTGTGTGTAAGTTGCGCATGTTAAAGATCCCTTGGCGGTCCAAAAATCTATAAAAGTCGGCTTCTGCCGCCACCCAGACAAAATTCAAAATTTCCTACAGTGGGAACAGATCAGCCTTAAGATGATGAGAAGGCTGTACCGTTATCATGACAGTCATTGCCTGTGATTGCAAAGCATAGGAAAACTTCACATCTCGGGGCCAGCTCGGTTCAAAGATGCAACACCCCCCCTCCCACCTAAGAGATCAGATGCCAGGAGGTTCCCATCAATCAACGAAATTCAACAGAATACACACTCTAGCTAAACTCCCCTTACAATAACACGTGAGCACAGGAGTACACCTTTCTTATCACCCAAAATGGGTGCGATGAACCAGAAACCACTGTACTAGGATATTATGACAATGACAGCAACAAGACTGCCTCTTCCAATGCTATCAGCTCATGTCATCGTATAAATATACCATGAAGTAAAAAACTTCCTTCACCTACAAGCACATTGTAAGGCTTGAATTATGGGCTTTCGAAAACATTTAACTTACTGAGTAGCTATCTTGCGCAGTTTTGTCTCTTTTGGAAGATCCAGCACAGACGGTATTTTCCTGGCCATGGATTCCCATATTTTCCGCTGAAAGGAAATATAAAGCAAATAAATTGACAGGCTTATATCAAATGAATCTTAAAATTTTCCCACTTAACTCAGACACACAGGGACATACAAGAAGGCAGGCAAACAGAATAACAATATGAAAGAGATATGAAGGGTAAAGGAAATATTTCATGGTCCAACCCTCAGCATATTCACTAACATGGAAAAAGACATAAATTCCTGTTACTTTGGGTTTGAAACAAAGTAAGACATTTTCTAAATTTGCCACTTAGTAAAGTAAAAACAAATACAGTATGATCGATTGTTGTTGGGGTCCACATGATTTCACAGTAACTCCTGCAGCAGCTGATTATCAATTACCTATTGGCAGCTGGGTTGACTTGGAAAAATAAGTAATATACCATTCCTAAGGACAAAATGCCTACACGATAGAGGCAGGAATCAAACTCCAACCTTTTTTTCATTATTAGTTTGAAACTATCACCCAACAAAGATGCCCCTGAAAAAGGAATAGCAAGATAATAAAACAGGGAAAATAGGGGGCACACCACTAGCTTTGTTGGCATCATGTTGGACTACAGAGAGGATGGCAATGGCTCTAATTCAAATTCCCAGTGGAGCGTTCTGAACTTGTGTAGCTATGTAGATTTTTTAAAGCTCTCCATCCAATCCATGTCATCACAGATGGATGTTAAATTCTGAGGTCCCATCTCATAAATAACCTTACAGTGTTGAAAGTAGTTAAACCTATACAAGGGCCAACGAGGGAAAGAAGGACTGAGTGTAAACTGTGTATGTGGCCCCTTATTGTATTTTATAAGCAACCTGACTTGATAGCACTGGAAGAGGCAGTCCTATTACTGATATTGTAATAATACTAATAATGACCAAATTCAGCAAGACAAACTGGGAAAAGGGGAATTATATCGAGGAGCCTGTGGTGCCTTGTGATCTTGTCTTACCTTTTCTTCCTTGAAAAAATCTGTCTCATCTTCACCAGTCTCAGAACGTTTTTTCTGTTTTGGTTTGGTTGGATCTTCCTCAGATTTTTCTCTCGCACGCTTCCTTTCAGAAATATCTTGAAGGATCTCTTTGTCTGTCTTTCCTTTAGCTAAAAGAACACGATTACTCTTTGATATATCTTTCGATAAGATTCTAGCCACGACACTGGCCATGGCTGACTTCTCAGGCACTTCTTCACTCTCTGGCAGATCATCCTCATTTTCTGAGTCTGCATCAGACCCTGAAAGTCTGTCTTCTGATTTTTCATCAATTTCAGAACTTGAATCTGTTGGAGATTTCAAATAATTATAATAATTAGTACAAATTTAAACAAAACTATGTATTTAGCATTTAAAAACTTCATGAGGCTTCACGAGGAGTCTGATGTCATGGTCCACCCGCCAATATCAGAGGTAACTTTAACTCTCTGCATACGGATATGTATTTCCAATTTCTACCCGACCTTTTTTTAGATTCCCATGGTGTGTTTTCAAAAAAAAGTTATAACTTAAGCAAATATATTGACAAAGATGGATGGTCGACCCCTTAAATGGTTTCAAATTGACAGATCAAAATACAAACAAGAAACTTACATGAATGTAGAATGCGCATAGAAAGAATGATGAGAAGAGGCAAGCTGGAGGGAAAGAGTTAAGTATCGATATTGAGTAAATTGTGAAAAAGATATTTTGGCGACCGCCTAAAAAGTACACATACATGACTTTTTTAAAACCTAACATTACTTTGTCGGAAGACAAACCCTCTCTAAACACCATCTTTCTGACAACAAAGCCATCTTCTTTTTCCATTCTGTCTCTGAAAAAAAGGTTAAAGTTTAGTGGCCAAAACAAAAACGACTCATTTGGAACAGGCCCAGAAATTCACACAAGTACGGTACTAAAATAGTACCATCAAAATAAAAACCACCGAATTTGTGACTTTCCTTCCAACTTTAAAAGGGGTTGGGAGAGGGGGGGGGGGGGGTTACGAAAATAAAACAGTGAGTTACAACTTAGAACAATATATCCTCATATTTCATATTTAACAGACTCAATAGCATGGATAAAGACTTGCTCCCCTTTCCAGTGTTTTCAACGTCATTTCTTTTTTCAGTGTCCTACAAGATATATTGAAATTGAAACTTACAAGAAAACCTTGTTATTTTCCAGGCCAAGTGTTTACAACTTTTTGAAAGTCAAAGTCCAAGTCTGACATTTAATATTTTGTGCTATGATCTATTTACTTACTTCCCAAAATAAAATCATAAACTATGTGGGAGAAAAAGGGAGAGGAAGATGCACCATCATCATCACTGATAAAATGTTATCCATAGCACCCCTTATCCAACTTGGCTACAGTCACAGTCACTTTCGCAACAAGCCAGAGTCAAAACATGCTTACAGAGGTCCCTTGCTACAAAAGTTTTCCGTCAACCCATCCTCAGACCAAGTGTGTCCATTCAATCAATGCAAGGAAGATTTTATAATGGATAATAGTTTTGATGGATAAAGAAAAATCAAATAAAGATTTCAAATTTTAAACAGTTAGTTGGCTTGTCAAGTCTAGTAAGTGACCATATAACACTAACACAGACCCCATCCGAGGGCTCTCATTGTCTACAGATTACGGTGTTCACGTCTCATTCAAAAGGTCCCGGGTTAAAAAACCTGATAGTGACGGAAAATTTTCTTCTCTAAAATGTTCTCCTTTCACCTCCTTTCCTGCTTTCTAACCATGTTTTGTCACCTGCTTTCGTCTCCACTTTCTGCCCTCCCCCCCCCCCCTTCTCCGGGCTCTGGGCTCCTGACTCTTTCTACAGCCTTTCTACTGGTGCTCCTTGGCTCCTTCTTACTGCTGACTTTCAGTCACATCCCTGACCTTAGGGTAGGTAAGATCTAACATCTAGCCTTCTCAGATAAAAGGGCAAAAAATCTTGGAGGTCCCGTGTTCAAGTTGTGCACGTCAAAGATTCCTTGGTGGTCCAAAAATCGATAAGAGTACCGATAGGCTTCGGCTGCCTTCTGGGTAAAATTCAAAATAAACTCTTATCAAACCAAAAATGTTTAACCCCTTCATTGCCTTTTATAAAATGACGTACCTGGAATGTCGTGAAAATGCATAATTTTCAGCGCTGTGCCGAACCATGTACATCACAGAAGTAGGCTAGGCAAAATTTGCCGCTCCTGGTTGTCTATGAAAGTGGCTATTCTCCCCCGCCCGAAAGTTCTCGCAACTCCTCCCCTCTTCTCTCTCTCTCTCTGTCTCTTTCTGAATACTGTCTATCGGTGTGGACGATCAAATTGACCAAAACAAAGTTAAAAAATGATGTTAAAACCCAAAAGTAAATTAATTTGGTTGTCTACAAAGATGCTACGGCTATTTAACTTTTCGAATCGAGCCGAACTACGCGGGTCGCCATTTTGTTTTGCCCGGAAATTCTCGCGCTACTCCTCTCTCTCTTTCTCTCTCTCTCTCCACTGCCCACAGACAAAATTGTACGCTTTTAGTTTAGTAGGCTACAGTTGTAATGGAACGTTTGTTCACGGCACAGAATTCGGTAAATTTTTACTTTCACTCCCGCACACAGTGCACTGTTTCAGGGGTCAAACTGCTGTACTGTTTGCTGCAGATCACACATAAAGCCGTGCTAAAACTGTCGCAAATCAATTATTTTCAAGACAATTTCAAATCTAACTGTAAAATATCAAATTATGGGTAAAAACAGGGGGGCATGCCCCCCTGTAACCCCCCAGATTTTCTTTTACCCCAGTGGGGCAAGCCCCCCTGGAACCCCCCGATTGGTCCAAAGCATGTCTATCTCGGTTAAAAACAATCAAATATTTCAAAAACTATTAATTTGCGACGGAAATGAAGTTGATATTCGTGTTCAGCGCATCAATATTTAGTAGAAAATAGGCATCTGGTAGCTGAGTGTGAGACGGGAGGGAAAGTAAAAAAATACCCAGAATTCTATAATTTTTCTGTTATCACAGTGTAGAATTCTGTGGTTTAGGGTGAACGCAAAATTTGGTGAACGCGCACCGGGTGAGAATAGCCACAAAACTCGCCTGCACTATTCTCACTCCGGGTGAGAATAGAGGTGGCCGTTGTCTAGATTCTATATGATGTTACATGTACATCACACTAACAATCTGGCTCTTAATTCTTCTGTACAGAGTTTTAGAAACAAGCGCTGCATAGATTCATACTCAGAAAAAAAAGATGTGTGCATGTCAATACCAAATTAGACTATTATTAGATCTAGATATAGATCTAGAATCTAGATCTAGAATCTAGATTATATTATAGATCTAGATATATGGATCTAGTCTAGACATCTAGATCTAGAATCTAGATCTAGATCTAGTAGACTACTAGTATAATTAGTACACTAGAGTATATGACAAGACCCAAAGAGACACCTTCTGCCAAGTAATAGATCTATCAATCAGAGAGCTATACACTAAAATTGACTTTTTAAAACCCAAGAAACACTTTTATTGAACATGGAATGCCCTACCTTCCATTTCATCTGATTCGACACCCTCCTCCACGTGAACCGGTGTCTTATTCTTGGCCATCTTGCTTTAGTGTGTTTATGTGTTGTGTTAAAAAGTCGACACAAATATGGTGTCGAAGAAACAAACCGTGTTATGATAGTTCCTGGTTTAGTCTTGGGGAACAGTTGAAACGCCCCCAAAGTACTTTAGTTGTTTAGGTATATTTATTTCATGACTTAAGTTTTACTTTTCCTAGATGTTTGTACCATTGCAATTTTTTTTTGGTCATACCGACAACAACGTGAAATAGGATTCTTGTTTGACCTCATTCATCAATCACGGGAATACGCCCCCCTGACGGATCACAGTGTGGTTAAGTGTGGGCCCGAGCGGCAGAAGCGGACTTCGTTTTGTGCTTGCTTTTCTGTTGGACTGTTTGAAACAAAGGAAATGATTCTGAGAATAAAGTAAGTCAATGTTATGCTTTCTTTGCTAAAAGTCATGTGTACATAGGTTTACTTTGAAAAACCAGTTGTTAAGGCAGTGTTTGAAGTGAAGTGTAGATTCTACATGTTCTTAACGATGCAGGAGGAGCAAACGAAAAGCACACTATAAAACGTCTTATTGGGCCAAAGACGTGTGATTGTGGTCACCGTGCAATCTTAACATAGTCCAAGCTCAACACTTCAGTCCGGAGTGTGGCTTCTAACCCTTGAGCCCTTTTTTCTTTCTTTCTTTTTTTAAGTGAGCAAGAGAAAAAAACTTTTGAAATTTTATGAAGGGGGGTTAATTGTCGGCCTATGCAATAAAACATGTACGTTGTTGTAGCCTACCTTTTTGTAAGTGGTAGCCTTGTTTGATGAACCTTCGCTCTCTTCGAATTGTATCGATTAATTATTCCTCGTCTTACTCCATATTCTTTATAAGGAGGCCTATTACATGTTCATTCATCACTTCATCTCCTAACTTGGGGGTGTGGGAAATAGCATCTTATTATCATAATGCTGCGTGTACTATATGAGCAAAGACGATAGCAGCAACAACACTGCAAGAACGAAAATGTTATTGATAATACTGGCAAGAAGAAGAAGAAGAAGAAGAAGAAGAAGAAGAAGAAGAAGAAGAAGAAGAAAGACAGAAAAAAGAATGATAGAAAGTAAGAAAGTATAATAGATGATAATGGCAATGATGATGATCCTGCCTGGTCGCTGACTTGATTGAAACTTGCTCCTTCTTTAATGATGCTCGGGGTGTTTGTTTGTTTGTTTGTTTGTTTACTTACTTTAATATTATCCTAATATTTCCCCCGGTTTATTTTGATCATTTCCTGTTGAAGCCCAGTGGATGAAACATTGAGCGAGAGTATTTTTAAACGATTTTTTTTAAAAATCCAAATTACAAGCGTCTCGGTCGTACTTTTTTTTTACAGCTTAATGATGATAATGATAGTGGTAATAATTACTAATTACCCAATAGATCCCCCGTCCCCCGGTATAAATATTTTCTTTGTGTTTTCCCGTCCTTTAAAAGAACCGCTGATAATTATAATATGTTTCGTTCGTAATACACAACAGAGCTAATAACTTATTGTAGTATAGGCCCAATATACCGTGCAGTACGTGTTGCAAAAACTGTGAGAGAGAGAGAGAGAGAGAGAGAGAGAGAGAGAGAGAGAGAGAGAGAGAGAGAGAGAGAGAGAGAGAGGGGGGGGGGGGGGGGTCGGAGAACAACGAATGCGACGGTGACTTAACGTGTATGTGTGTTAGTTCATGTTGCTGGTTATAATATTTCAAGACACACAGCCGTACGAAGTCATAATGTTTCACTGAAAAGCCTACTGGTAAACACACTCGGCCTCTTAAATAACCTTACGGTGTTAAAAGGGACATTAGTAAACCTTTACAATGTACAATGTGAAGGTACAGCTCACGGAACTGTTGGATAGAGGCAATGAGTTTATAAATTTATAGGCCCCCCAACGTCATATGCTACATGTATTAAAGCGGTGTTGGTGAATTACCCCGTTCTAAAATAAACACGACTGCGGCACCCGTCCCACTAAAAGTTATTATATTTGAGAAAGTGAAACGTTAGTGAGAACTGTGTTCAACCCTTAATTCAGGCTGATTAGAGGCATTGTATAACATTATGCCATTACTTTGCGGACAACACTGCCAGTGACCCACGTTTGACACCGCTTTCCGTTCCGACTCGTTTGTCTTCCCATCTCTCTAGAGGCGCGCCCGTTCAGTTCAAGGTGGTGGACACGCATGAACAATCGTACTTTTGTGGCTGCTCTTTTCTTTTCTTTTTTTTCTTTTTTTACGTTACTTGCCATCGAATGGAAGTATCTGCGGTACTCTTGTTCGCGAGAGCTTACGTCGCGCGTTATGACATAGTCAGGGCACAAAAGAAGCAACACACTGTCAGTTCGACACTTTATGTCCGAAGTCATAAAGGTGTTAAAGGACCCCTGTTCCCTTTTAGGAACACGAAGTGGGCCGAGGGTTAATGCATTGTATGGACACATCATGTAGGTGTGTGTGTGTGACCGTTGTCTTTGAAGACTGTTGTGTCCTTTACTAGTGTTTCAAGGAGAACTCTGTTTTGTCTCCCCAAGGTTGACATTGCTACCACGCAGTGTTTGCAGTCTTCGATATATTATGATTCTCAGTTGTTTTACTTGTGCCTTTAAGCCCGTTATATCCTTGGCACCGTGCATTGTCTTTTTCTTTGCTGTGGATGCTGCTGTTGCTTTTTTACCACCACCCCGCCCCCTCGCCCCCTTCTCTTCGTCCTCTTCTCTCGCCGTTGCATGTTTTCTTTTCTCGAAACGGCGATATCTTTGGTTCTACTCAAACAGATTTCCCCCTCCACCATTTATTAGCCCCCCGCTTCAAAACACCGTTTTTTTTCCAATGCCCGCCCTCCCCCCCCCCACACACACATTTCTCTCTCTCTCTCTCTCTCTCTCTCTCTCTCTCTCTCTCTCTCTCTCTCTCTCTCTCTCTCTCTCTCCACACATACACACACACACACACACACACACACACACACACACACACACACACACACACAAACACGCGCGCGCACACACATACATACATACACACACACACACACACACACACACACACACACACACACACACACACACACACACACACACACTCGCTCACTCACATTATACATCGGCGTCCAAAAGAAACTTGAAAATGTATTCACCCTATCATTGTGTAAATAAAGCCTTGTACTAGATCTACCTATTTATGCAGCATAGGAATTTAGAGGTAAATAAATTTTACATGAACAGACATATTTTTAGTATTTTATTTACGATAAGAGTCGCCCGAGATATGGTTACTCAACACTAAACCTGAAAAATCGGACTTTGCAAAATTGTATGAAATCAAAGAAACTTAAAAGTAGGCCCTTTAGTATATATATATTGTATTATATACTGTATGTATTGGAGTGTATCAATATTGGTGGAATGGACATATATTGAATATCAAAGGAATGGAGAATATTATTGCCTCTGCTATGAACAATATCTTATAATGATAGTTTGTCGAACTGATTGGGAAACAGAGCTGTCACAATACCACTCTAAACTTGGACTTAATTGCCTGTCAGAGAGGAACAGAGGCCACACACTTGCCATGGGTTGGGGTGGTCTAGGTGGAATAAACCAAACCCCACTTGTGAGAATCAACAGAAGGCTTCGTTCAGAGGACTATGGTGCCCATAAGTGCTGGGACGTTACGTCTTACCTTCATAATTTCATTATGGTGTCATTTAAGTCTGCCTGACTAATCATCTTCTCACAGGGCCAACGCCACCAGGCGATTTCTTGGAAAATCAAATCACGCCAACGATGGAGTGGTCACCAGTAATTACCCCTGATATGAATCCAACAGATTTTTGTGGAGTCCCATTAAACAGCTGCTTAAGGAAAGCGTCCTTGCTCCATTCATGGGCTTAATTGTTTGCAACTGGCTGTGACATACGGGATGAAACGACAGATAATTATTATGTCAAAATTTTAACACTGTCCTTTCCCAAAGGGGTTCGTGCTCTACATGAACCAGTGGCTACTTTAAAAAAGACCAATTTAATTAGCACATTTAATGTCAAGTCCAAGTTTTCCGTGGTATTTGTGACTGATCTGTTTTCCGATCTGTGTGAAGCTATTGCAATAAAAAGAAATTAAATATTGTTTATTGCAGAGACAAAATTCTCCATTTATTGATATGCAAAACTCGAACATTCCGCTAATGTCCATGCACCCCAATACACGCGCAAACACACTTTTAAGTTTCTTTGATTTCCCATAATTTTGCCTAGTCTGATTTTTAAGGTTAATTTTGAGGTAGCCTACCACAGCGCGGGGGACTCTTATCGTGGACGAAATATTAATGTGTCAGAGGATGCAGTTTTTATTTTGTTTTAAATTAGTATATTATCTATGCTGTATGCGTGGGTATTACAAGCCTGTGTGCAAAGCAGTGCACTGGCTTGGTCCCTACCTAGAAACATCTTACAGATAAATAAGAGTTTAGGAAAATTGTCTGTATTTTAAACTTAATTATTATATTTTACCAGTACTTTCAACAAGATTGGTGTCTGTGGATTACAGGTGATAGCGAATGATAGGTTCCTGCCCACCCCACTTGACGGTCTACCGCGTTGTCTCTATTCTACGTTTCGGTCTACCTCTGGACCAGACGGACAATTGTTTTACTTGACGACTTCAATTTACTAAACATTTACCTCTATGTTTATACGAGTTTGGGACTATCAAAGGCCAATTTCAAAAGTGATGTTGTTTTTTTCTTTTCTGAGAAGGATTGTAAATGTTTTGGCTAGTTTGTCGAGCGGGGAGGAGGGGGGGGGGGCTCTTGAAAGAAGTGCATTATGGTGTAGGAGTGATGGATGGTGGTAGATGTAGAATTACTGTCCAAAAGCCTTAGGGCAGAATGCATAATATTTTATTAAATATAAATAGTCAGTCGGGCGTACCTCACGGTAGAGCACACATCAACCCAGTAAGCTGTCAAATGGATAGGTACCAATCGACTTTAAAGTTTAGTATGGTAGTCTAGGCCTGTAGTATACAATTGGGGCGG